AGTAATCTTACATATATTTTACAGTTAAAATATGTCATTAAAGAAATCTCTAAACTCAGTTTGATTTTTTTTTAATTTTAGAGAAATATTTAAGGAATTAATATTGGCTAAGTAGCACACATGTTTGAAATTTAGCATTTCTTTTCATTTTACTCCTCGGTTTAACTAAAGTAAAATTAAGTCGAATATTTTTAATTTAAAAATATGCATAACATAATCCTTTGTGTCTACAATCTACAGAGAAATCTATGAAATTACGTATATCAAATGTAAATCATTCTGAATATTTTGAGACTTTGGACGACTTTCTTCTAAATAATTTTGTTTTCTATATTGAATGAATATTAGACTAACATGCATCACATAAAAACCACAAATACCATATTTAATAATTGATTTTAGTTGTCTAAGATAAGCAAGTAAATATAAAAGCAAAATAAATATAAAGGCAAAACCATAAATTAGAAACCACTGCCAAAATTTGGCTCCTCCTCATTTTTTAAAGTAAAAATGAAAACTGGCATGTTAAGAGATTAAAGATAATATTCAACTATAGAATCACATAAAGAGAAAATTTTTAAATTCTAAGAGAATACTAAATAGATTTGCATGTTTATACATTTTTAAGTGATTTAAAATCAATAGGCAATTACTAGCTAATGACATATTAAAGTAAATAGCACTTTTCACGGAAAATCAAGGCAGAATCCATCATAGCCCTTAACACAGGGAAATCTGCTACTCCTTACTTTAAATTACTCATTAGACTGCTTGATAACAAGAAATAGTTTGAACTGCTCTTAATAAACATGAAGGACAAAAAATAATAATTCAGATTTCTTCCCCAAAGACACACAAAACTTGTATTAAAGAGAAAAATTAAATTTCCAAATAAATCATTCGTCAGGGGGTATCATCATCTCCCCTCTGAACTGTGAGAAATTTAAAGGAAAGACCTGACTTTAGTCATCTTTGTACTCACTGAAGTTGCCACAAACCACACTTCAAGAATGGATAGGTTAAAAAAAAAAAAAATCAACAGATCTGGCTCATGAGGGCTGGGTTTTTACAGCCTTGCTAGCCAAGAGGATGCCTAATGTTAAGTTATTTAATGAGGTCCTCTGAGCAGAGAGAAAAGGATAAGAGGAGTACTATTCTATAGAAACATTAGAGCAATAAATATTTATTGATCCCTTAGAATGTGCATGCTGCAAACTCTATTCAACTCTGGAATACCAGCAGAAAACAAACTTCTGGAAGGGAAGACAGACATAAAATAAATAATCACACAAATGAAAAGATAATTACAAAGTACAGTAAATGGCATAAGGGTGCTATAAAAGTGTAACAGGGACTGTAATTTAGATTAAACTTTAAATTAGAGCATGAAATTAGATTGTTAGGTTACGTGGGTTGATATAGGTTATGTAATTGGTTGTAATAGGTTGACCAGAGTAGGCCTTTTTGGAAACAACGTAACACTTATACTGAAACTTGATAAAGTGAGGCATTGGCCAGATAAATGTGGGAAGAACCTTCCAGGCCAAATAAATAACACCATGAGGTAGGAAAGTGCTCGGCATTTCAGTGGAACAGAGAAAAGGCTATTGGTTCTGGTTCCCAGTGAGGGAGGGTGGCAATGGCATGAGATGGGGTAGTATCATTGGTGTTCCTGTGGCCCCTCCTAACTATTTTGGACTTCATCTCAAGTATAATGAATGAGTCAGTAAGTGTGGAAAAGGTCAGAGAGTGAAAGAAGCATCCTGAATGACCAAGGACAGCATGAGGGCTTAAACTCCAGCACTGAAAAGAAATCAGGAGAACAGCAGATAAACTTGACCCATTTCTGGTTTTGCTAAGCGATTTACTTGGAAGGGCTTCCACATTGTTTTGCTATTAATCTACTTTCATTCCATTGTCACTATTAATCTAAGCCCCCCAATATGAATTGATGTCATCTGTGGAGTTTATAGCAATTCAAGTGTTGTCATGTAGGACATAAAAGTAATATCTCTTGTCATGTCTGTCATTCTTGCAGCCCACCTTTCTCAGGCCCAGATCCTATGAAAACCTATAACATCATATTGAGGGGCATTGACATGATAGAATTTCCAAAGAAGATTGCTAAAAATGCTGCTAATTTAATTAAAAAACTATGCAGGCAAGTATTTCAACCACATTATTTCTGAAAAGATCATAATGTGAAAAAAATAGAATTAATAAAACCATTATTTTATTTTTAGGGACAATCCATCAGAAAGATTAGGGAATTTGAAAAATGGAGTAAAAGACATTCAAAAGCACAAGTAAGTGTTCTTTCCTTACAATTTTAGGTTTCAGAGTTCTGAACACCTGCCATCTTTTCCCCAGGGTGTTGCTTTTTAAGTTATTGGTGTAAAACTAGTGTAATTAGCCTATAGGAACATCCAAAGACAGCATATAAACTAGTTAGGCTTTTAAATGCCTTTCTAGTTGTGATTATGAAACTTTATTTATATTTATCTGACAACCCTGTAACATAAGAAACTGAATTCACTGAACTCAGTTTCTTACAACTCATACCAACTAGCATTTTTTTCCTCTCTGGCACAAAGAAGAAATGTGTATTTTAAATTTGGGGATTCTGTTCTCTACCACAGTATTACAAACAAAAGTCCCCTACTGTATCTTACCTGATTTCCTAAAGACAAAATATATTTTTTTAAGCATTTCCTAATTAGATGTTATAACAAGAGAAAAACGTAAGCACAGAATACAGTGTTTTTTAAACAATAGCAACATCTTAAATATCAGACCTTTCCTATGTTGATTGGATGTTCTAAAGCTAAACTAATTGGTTTTTCTCTATTTGTTTGTATAACACTGACAGGAAATTCACATCCTTATCAAAGAAACATGTTTACTAAAATAACTCTGAATATCTGAAAAGCCTGCTAAGAATTTGTTGTAAGCATTTGCTGATGGCGAAACCCTTCAAAGACAGAAGAAAACAAACAAGCAAAAACTTTAGTCTTTTTTGGTCCTTATTTTCACAGAAAAACTGTACGCAAAACACCTTTATTCTTCATTAAAAAAGGGAATAAAGGAGGAAAATGGGGCATGTAGAGACTACTACAATGATGCGTAAAGATTAACTAGCTGACATTGTGCACTGAATCAGTGGCAAAAATGGAAAGTTAATTTTCTATCCTGACTTTTCATGCCCTGGTTCTACCTCCTTAAAATAAAATACCCTGTAAGACACAGGGCCAGATACATTATGACATTTATTAAATTATAATTATAGTGTAGGAACAAGGTCATAGAGCCATGACGACTGAATTACAAGGAAAAAGTGTTGCATGTTCATTGATGTTTAAAATTTGACAGTTATACTTTTAAAAATATGTATTTCATAAAATAAACTAATTGGGAAAACATATGCAATTCAATAGAAAACATTTTTGTCACATGAAAATGTTTGCCTAACTGCTTCCCATTAGCCATGGACATTGTATACATTGCAACAAGAAGGTTTTAGCTGACATAAAATGTCTTTATCGACGTTTTTTCCTTTTTTAGATGGTTTGAGGGCTTTAACTGGGAAGGCTTAAGAAAAGGTACCTTGACACCTCCTATAATACCAAGTGTAAGTAGACTTTCCAGCTTATAATTGTGTGAGACACTTGATGGTGTTTATGTCAGTCAACAATGATCTGTTATTTTTTAAGTTTAATCCTATGATTAGGTTAAACAAACTCTAGGAAAAATGTCACATTAAAATAATGACATATTCTAAAATCCAAGCTTAAAAGCAAATACATTTGGAGATAGTCGCTATAATTGTGTTTTACTCTTATCTTTTTTAACTATTCATTTTAAATCAAGTTTCCCTCATTTATGAACATAAGTTAATTTTTAGTATGGGAAATGTTCAAAAGATAGAAACGCAGACAAAAATATATAGGTGAGAGGATCACTTGAGGCCAGGAGTTCAAGAATTCAAGACCAGCCAGCCTGGACAACATAGTGAGACTCTGTCTCTCCAAAGAAAAAGAAAAGAAAATATTTACCAGGTGTGCTGATGTGCACCTGTAGTCCGTGCACCTATAGTCCTAACTACTCAAGCTGGAGCAGGAGGATCACTTGAGCCCAGGAATTTGAGGTGACTGAGCTGTGATTGCATCACTATACTTCAGTTTGGGTGACAGAGCGGAAAGACCCTGTCTCTAAAAAAAGAATAAAATAAAATAACACTTTTTCAAAGAGTCTTTACATGATCAGTTTTTTGGTTTTTGTTTTTTGGGGGGTTTTTTTTGAGATGGAGTCTTACTCTGTCACCCAGGCTGGAGTGCAGTGGCGCGATCTCAGCTCAGTGCAACCCCCGCCTCCCAGGTTCAAGCAATTCTCCTGCCTCAGCCTCCTGAGTAGTTGGGATTACAGGCACTCACCACAATGCCCAGCTAATTTTGGTATTTTTAGTAGACAGAGTTTCACCATGTTGGTCAGGCTGGTCTTGAATTCCTGACCTCAAGTGATCCTCCCACCTCGGCCTACCAAGTGTTGGGATTACAGGCGTGAGTCACCACGCTGGGCCTATATGATTACTCTTAGACTTCTGTGGCATCTTTGTTTCCATAGCTCTAGCCAAAATTTATTATATAGAAAGATTTTTTGTGATTATTTGTTTTAATCAGACAATTTATTACTCACAAGGGTATAAACTCTCTGAGGATAAGAACCATGTCTATTTGTACCCATCAGTGTGACCCTCAATACCTGCTACATAGTAGATACTCAACAAAATAGTCACTAATAGGGGATAAATACAGAATGCACTTAAAAATTCCAGCTTGGAATTCCACTAAAAAAAAAATCCACTAAAACAAAACTGTCCATTTTATACAGGTTGCATCACCCACAGATACAAGCAATTTTGACAGTTTTCCTGAGGACAACGATGAACCACCACCTGATGACAACTCAGGATGGGACATAGACTTCTAATGTATTTCTCTTACCTGCTTCTGCCTTGCTGAAGACAGCTTTTTCTGAGACACAGCTGCCAGCAAACCTGAGGGAAAGAGAGAAGATTAGTGCTCGGGGTCACCATGATGCCTTTGATCGATGCTGCTCCAGTAACTACAGTGGCATTAGGACTTATTGCTTAGATGACAATAGTGCTCTTTACATGTTTTCTGTTTGAACCTAAAATAGCAGTTGACATGGTGGTCCTGAAGCAAAGCCTTTCATCAGTAAAGAGATGTTTTCTATTGTGGCAATGACCTTGCTTTGCTCTGATTATAATTTGAAAGACTGTAGGAAACACTTCAATCTAGTATAGGAGTCTGTACCTTGCTAGAATATTCAAGAAGATGAAAGAATAATATATTGGGTACAATAGATTACTATGGTACAGAAACTGGGCTATTCCCTTTCTTCAAGTGAAGGCTGTGGGATCTATTACTGCAGGCCGGTGTATATACCATACAAAAGAGGACCACACATCTGTTGGTCACAGAGTTCATGTCACACCAGTGCTAGAAGTTTCATGATTTTATTTCCCAGCAGTGCTGATGACAAGACTGAATGTTACCTTTTCTTTCTGACAGATTTTAAAAAATGATATGATAAAAGCACAACTGCTATAGATTCTGCTGAGACCTCTCATAGTAGGTATATATACGTTTTCACAGAGGACTGAAAAATAATGCATGATATTTGTTTTTTTTTTTTTTGATAAATTGGCATGATAGAGTGGGGAAAAAAGCAATTCACAAAATCATTTCATATTTTTTTAAATATTGTGCTTAAAGATGGTCCTGGAAGTAAATGACTAGCAGCCAATTGGTTTTACCTAACCTACCCTCAAACTGAGGCTTAAAGTATTCCCTTTTATAAAAATAAACCCTTGGGGTGGGGTGGAATGGGGAGGGATTAAAATTCATCCAAAAAATAAATAAAAACTATATAGGTGCTATGTATATCTTTCATCTGTAAATGTCAGTGTCTGAACAGACAACACAAATTCAAATCATTGTATGTGTAGCCAGAAACTCAAGCATTTTCACTGAAGTTATTAAACCAAACTCCTGTCCGATTTCACTTATACAACATAGTCAGTCTAGAGTTGAGAGACAAAGGTGATCATAAACCTATTCGAACTAGCTTCTTGTCTTAGGCCTGAACCGAAAAACAGACAACAAACAAAAAACAGGAATGAAAAACAAAATTAAAAAAAGTAGAAAAGACAAAGAAAGAAAGCCCAAAGTCAAAGTTAAGATTTACGGGTTTACGAGACCAGGAACATTACTTATTTGAGGTTAGAAAACAAAACAAGAACCTGGCCAGGTGTTGATTTCCTTTTTTGTGAATTAGCTGAGTCCGTAAACTTGTCTAAGTAAGAAAGCAGCACAGAGGAAAACAGGAACCTGATTTTTTTAAAAAATAAATTTTAAATAGAACAGAATTCCTACAATTCTGCAATTTCATACTACCTAAAAAAGACTAGATTTGAAAATGTCAAGCTGATTTACTTTATTCACATGGAGAAAAGAATCCACAAATTAAACTGAGTCCTTCACTGGCAGGCCAGTTGACTATTATTAGCTGTCATAAGTAACTCAGCCATTTGGAAGCATTTCCTGGACAAAATTGCATTATACCTATGAAGAAAAATATAGAAGCTTTCAAGCTGTCATTCTGTTTTGGCACTGTGTGTGAATTTGTTATATTAAATTGAGGCTTGCTTTTTTTTTCAGTAGAGTTTTCTTTTTAATCAATCAAATGCCTATATTTCTGGAAGAAAAAGTCCAATTAGATCATTACACCTTAACTAAGAAGGCAGGTATTATAAATTTTGCTTGAATTGTTCTTACTCAGAACTACCTTAGAATATGGTATCTTATGAAAATATAATATTCTCAAAATTTTGGAGGAGAAAATGAAAAGGGAATAAACTTCAAGTAAAACTTTAATCCTAAAATATTATTGTTATTCTTGTGTTTCTGGGGTTTTCCCTCTCTTACAATTTCTCCAAATTGGTCTATTCCCCAAGATATCCACTGTTTTCCACAGATTTTAGAATATAAAATTAAACATATCAATTTAAAATCTAGCTATGAATGTTATTCCAAGAATTTTATATTTTTAATTGGCTTTTTAAAAATATATGATTCCAACATTATAGTGAATGTTCAGTAAATTTTGTTGAAAGATAATGTGGTTTAGGCATGCTAAAGATTTGCTAGAATATTAAGTTCACCTTGTTATTTGGAAAGAGAATCTGCTTCTGTAACTTTTTAAAAATCTGCAAAGTCCCAGAGATTAGCACTTACTATGGATTTTGGAACTATGGTTCAAGTCTAAGACAACCAATATGAATACGTTCAATGGAGAAGGAAGAAGTAGCATTCAGCACAATGTAACTGTAGATTGTTTCTTACACTTGTTACTGCATCTTTGTTCATTTCACCCATAGCATTGCATTTGATGTCTGAAGCAATCATCACAAAATAAAGGTAAACTACATCTTCCGAGATGTACCAACAGAAAACATTCATCTAATTTTCAACACTGAATTTCTAGGATTTAAATCTTGTCTTAATGAAGACTCTAGGGCTAAAATTCATGGTCAGTTCCATAAAGTGCATCTCACTTTATTTCTGAATTTTTCACAACCCCTCTATTTTCTTACACTAAAGAACATCTGCATAAGTTAGAATAGTGCCAAGTTGTTTGATTTGTTTTATGATTTTCTTGTTAATGTGTTGAGTATGGGAAATAAGGGCTTTCTGTGTGTCTTGACTCACAGGAAAACTGAAACTGCCAAGGGAAACAACTTTAAAATAACTGAGATGGATTGAATACATTTGAAAAAATAATTTCTGGAAAAATGCTATACATGATTTTTATGTTTATATCTTCTTTCTTATTAATATATGAATCAGATCCATATGGCATTCAAAATAAATTTATTCTGATTATATTCTTTACAAGTCATAATTTTTACCTAAAGTTGTGGAATATGCATGTGAATTACACATGTGTAGTAATAAACTCAACTATTGAATTTTTCCTGTTTCATTTATAAATTACTGAACTGATGGTAAACAAATTTAATGAAGTCAGCTACCATATTGAAAATAAAGATATTAGAACTGATTTCATACAATAGAGGTGATCTGTGCATTATCCATAACAACTTTTCCTTTCACAATAGGACCACAGACAAATATTTATGTAAATAGATATTTTTGTGTGATATTTTGTGGTACATATAACTTTTTTTAGTGTTTCACAGCATTATTATTTCATTTTATTTGTATTGAATAATGTTTTTAGGTCCAAGTAGACTTGAATTAATGTCATAATTGTCAGTATTATTGAAAATTATGTCAACTGTACTGTTATTCATCTGTCCCATAGTTTAGAACATGACCTGGCTATCTGGCATTGTTGCAAGTGCCTTAAATTCATGGCATCCTATTAAAAAAACAAATTTGGTGTTATGCTGCATGACAAAGACAAACACACCTCAAAATGTTGTCCTTTCTTAGCTTGCTGCGTTTTACAGTTCTTTCTGCTAACAATTTATAAGCCTTTATTATATAATATTGATGAATTACAGAAATGATGAAGTTGTTCTCTTATTTCTGTTAAATGTACCAGAGCTGTGTATCTGTTAATGAGATACAGCGTCATTTCTGTGAAATGTATAAATGTATGTGCAGGTCAAATTAATATATGACATTCTATCAGTCTGTATACAGGTATTCCTGTTTTGCTAAGCTGTGCAGATTCTGTAAAAATAAATTAGTGCAGTCAAGTTCTAACATATCTCATTTTATAGACTCCATTGACAATGGTCCAACCGAAAAGAAAAATTGGAAATGACTGCTAACCACACCTCGTTATGATACCAATGATGAAAAAGTCACTTGGTGCACCTCTCAACAAAACAGGATGCTTTCTCCAAGTTCTTGTATATGCAAATCATTTATGAGGCAAGTTTTCAACAGACCTAGAAGGCAAAACATTAAAAGCGTGTTGTTAGCCCTCCTCTCTGCCCCTGCATCAACAGACAGAGCTCTGGGACCTTGGCAATGACTCAGAGGTTGGGGCTTTCTGAGTAAAGGGACATTTCTTTAAGCATCATCTATCAAATTTATTTCAATGTATGATGTTTTTACAACTGGTCAGTTCTTTTGTATTCTTACAGCTATGGTTATTTGATTGTCCTCTTACAATTTGTTCTACATGAAAGAGTTCTTTGTTAGTCAGAATGCAACAAACTGTCATCAAATGGTCATTGACCACTTGCACTCTTTTGATGTAGATTAAAAACTTTTTCATAAACTTAACCTGCTTTGATTTGCTCTGTATTTTTCCTGCAGCTGTAATTGCTGAGTGCCTGTTGTATACTTTATAGAGTTGAAATAAAAAAATAATTACTTTTGAACTTAGTTGATGTTTAATTCCAGATAAGGTTCCAAGAATAGAATTGGTATATCATCCTAGATGAAATACCAGGTAGTACTGTTATAGAATGTCACTATAACAAAGTATGAAATACCTATAATCCAAGCATTCTTCATGAAATAATATACTATATTGTAATCTAATATAAAACTAATCCAACAAATTGGTTTTAAAGAATTCATAGGAATAATGTTGGGCCATCCAGTGTGAAAAGCAAAGTGAATACAGATATTTACACAAACTCAGAAATTAGCAGATTTCTGAGCATGACCACCACACAGTCCTTTTGGGCTATCCCTAGTCAAACTCTGTACTAGTTAAAACAATCAAAGGGATAATTCTTGTATATTACTACATCCTAGGAGGAAATGATTTCATATGAAGAGCAACTTCATGAGTCTTTGTCCAAGGATAGTTCACCTGATTCCTTGGCTTCACCATATGCACAAATAAGAAAAATTTGGGGAACAATATGATTACAATGAATTCAACTCCCTAAAGCCTGTTAAATATATTCTTTCTACATCCCTTTGTTCTTCTCTGCAGTAAATGATGCACACGTTAAAACTGTCTGCAGCATGAAGATCCTCTCAA